CATAGAATGAGTTTGGTAGTTCTGTTTCTATTTTGTGGAATAGTTTGAAGAGAATTGGAGTTAGCTCTTCTTTGAAGGTCTGATAGAATTCTGCGCTGAAACCATCTGGTCCTGGGCTTTTTTTGAATGGGAGACTTTCAATGACTGCTTCTTTTTCCTTAGGGGAGACAGGACTATTTAATTGATTTACCTGGTCTTGATTCAGCTTTGGTTAGTAGAATCGATCAGGGAAATTGTCCATTTCATTTAGATTTTCAAATTTTGTGGCATATAGACTTTTGAAGTAAGTCCTAATGATCATTTGGATTTCCACAGTGTCTGTCGTTATGTCCCCCTTTTCATTTCTGATTTTGTTGATTTGGATGGTGTCTCTCTGCCTTGTAGTTAGCTTGGCTAAGGGTTTGTCGATCTTGTTGACTTTCTCAAAGAACCATCTCTTGGTTTCATTGATTCTTTGAATTGTTTTATTTGTTTCTAATTGATTGATTTCAGCCCTGAGTTTGATTATTTCCAGCAGTCTACTCCTTTTTGGTGTGTCTGCTTCTTATTTTTCTAGGGTTTTTAGGTGAGCCATTAAGTTGCTTGAATGAACTGTCTCGAATTTCTTCTTGAAGGCACTTAGTGCTATGAACTTTCCTCTTAGCACTGCTTTCATTGTGTCCCACAAGTTTGGGTATGTTGTTCCTTCATTTTCATTGAATTCTAGGAAGACTTTAATTTTTTTCTTTATTTCTTCCCTGACCCAGCTGTCATTTAGTAGCAAGTTGTTTAGTTTCCACGTGTTTTTAGGCTTTTTGCTATTTCTGTTGTTGTTGAGGTCCAGCTTTATTCCATGGTGATCAGATAGGATACAAAGACTTATTTCAATCTTCTAGTATCTGTTGAGGCTTGCTTTGTGACCAACCATATGGTCTATTTTGGAGAAGGTTCCATGAGGTGCTGAGAACAACGTAAATTCTTTTGTGTTTAGGTGTAAGGTTCTGTAAATGTCTGTGAGGTCCATTTGATTCATGACCTCTGTCAGAGATATTGTTTCTTTGTTTAATTTCTGTTTTGTTGATCTGTCCTTTGTTGAGAGTGGGGTGTTGAAGTCTCCCACTATTAATGTGTGGGGATCTATGTGTGGTTTAAGTTTTATCAATGTTTCTTTTACAAATGTGGGTGCCCTTGTATTTGGGGCATAGATGTTCAGGATTGTGATGTCCTCCTGGTGGAATTTCCCCTTGATGAGTATGAAGTGTCCTTCCCCATCTCTTTTGATTAATTTTGGTTGAAAGTCTATTTTATCACTCCTGCTTGCTTCTTGGGTCCATTTGCTTGGAAAGCCGTCTTCCAACTTTTACCCTCAGGTAATGTTGATCTTTGTGCCTTAGGTGTGTTTCTTGTATGCAACAGATTGCTGGGTTTTGTTTACGTATCCATTCTGTTAATCTGTGTCTTTTTACTTAAGAGTTGAGTCCATTGATGTTGAGAGAGATTAATGACCAGTGGCTGTTAGATTGTTTGATTTTGATGTTGACTGTGGTCATAAGTTTGTGTGCTTGGTTGCTTTTTGTTTTACTGTAGTGAGATTAATTATTTCCTATGTTTTCTTGAAAGTAGCTAGTTTTCTTGGGTTGTATTTTTCCTTCTAGTGTCTTCTGTAACGCTGAATTTGTGTGTAGGTATTGTTGAAATTTGTTCTTGTCATTGAATATCTTGTTTTCTCTGTATATGAGGACTTGAGAGTTTTGCTGGGTATAGTAGTCTGGGCTGTTTTCTTAGGGTCTGTATGATATCCATCCAGGCCCTTCTGGATTTCATAGTCTCTGTTGAGAAGTCAGGTGTGATTCTAATGGGTTTGCCATTATATGTTACTTGGCCTTTTTCCCTTGCAGCTTTTAATATTTTTTTCTTTGTTCTGTATACTTACTGTTATGATTATTATGTGGCGGGAGGATTTTCTTTTCTGGTCTAATTTATTGGGTGTTCTGTAGGCCTCTTGTATTCTTATTGACCTCTTCTTTAAGTTGGTGAAATTTTCTTGAATGATTTTGTTGAAAATATTTTCTGGGCCTTGGAGGAGGGAATCTTCTTTTTCCTCTATTCCTATTTTACGTTGTCTTGAATTTCTTGTATGGTCTGTGTCAGGAATTTTTTAGATTTAACACTTTCTTTGACAGATATATCTATTTCTTCCATTGTATCTTCCATACCTGCGATTCTTACTTCCATCTCTTGTAGTCTATTGGTTATGCTTACCTCTGTAGTTCCTGTTTTCTTCCCTAAGTTCTTTCACTACACAATTTCCTCCATTTGTGTGTTTTTTTTTTAATTTTTCCAATTCTATCTTCAGATATTGAGCTGTTTTGTTGATTTCCTTCACCTGTCTGACTGTATTTTCCTGTTTTTCTTTCAATTCCTTCAGCTGTTGGTTTGAACAATCCTCTGTTTCTTTTATTTCTTTCAGTGATTTAAGTTGTGTCCTCTCTAAAGGCCACAAACTCTTTGGCTGCAACTTCCTATATTTCTTTACGGATGGCCATAATCTGTTTGTTTTTTATCTTCCTCTATGTTCTTACACATTTTATTTGTTTCCTCTGTTATCCTCTTCATGAGCATAGATGTTAGGTCATCTTCTCGAATTTCAGTTATGCTGGGGTGTCCAGGGCTACTTGCCCCTGTATAACTGGATTCTGGAGATATAATATTGCTTTCTTTTGTTGGTTAAGTTTTTATGCTGGCCTCTACCCATTGGGCTATCTTAGGTGTTGGGTGTTAGTTTTTGGTGGTTCCTGGAATCCTGTGGTGGAGAGAATCCGTTTGGCAGGAAGATGGTTTTTCCTGAAGGAAGCCTCCTCAGCTTTTTGGGTATGGTCACTGAATGGCCGGTGTTTTTCAGGAGTTGCCACAGCTCACCTCAAGCATACAGACCTGAGTGGTAACTGTGGTCCTTGTTAATCGAGAGGACTCTCTTCTCACCTGGAGAAGTCTGGAGACAGCTGCCCTGCTTCTGGGTTTCTTGTTGTAAATTTAGTGAGCTCCTGCTGTAACCTGGGTGTCCTGTGGTTTGGTTAGTTTTGTTAGGGATAACTGGTTGCCCCTTGGAGCAGTATCTAGGGGTTGATCTCTTGGATCCCAGGCTTCTGTAGGTCTGAGGTTGTAGCTCTGTGCCCTAGTACCCAAGCGGTAATCTGTGGCAGGTGAGTACTGCTCTCCTAGTAGCAGCAGGTTAGCAGGTCCCTGGGTTGGGCTGGTCTGCGGGACCTTTTCCAGGGATATACTGGGTGGCCTAAGTTCGTCCCTGTTTTCTTCGTTCACTGTGGGGATTTCTCCTGACAGGGACTCCAAGTCGCTGGTGCCCTGGGGCACCTGTCTGTGGTGGAGAGTCTGTGCTGGAGCCCAGTCAAGTACTGGAGGCTAGCACCCTCTGCAAGACCTTTTCCAGGGAAAGACTGGGTGATCCTAGGTCAGTCCCGTTTCCTTCCTTCCCTGTGGGTTTTTCTCGCGATTGAGACTCCCATTCTCTGGTGTTTTTGTGCCCACTGTTCAGCCTGGAAGGTGATCAGGACACGCAGGCGTGTGGCTCTGGTCCTGCGACCTAGTGCCTGCGAGACCCGGGATCTCTTCCAGGTTCTGGTTGGGTGACCTGAGAGTGGACCCGACTGATTCCCACACGTGGGAGTTTCCTCTCGCCTGAGAAACACGATCACTGTTGTTTTAGGGCCCAGAGTTCAGTCTCTTGGTTGCTGAACGAAAATGTTGTCCTGCTCCTTAGACACAGTGTTCTCCTGGCGCCACCTTCTTGTCCATCCCTCTAAGACATTCGTTTGAGAGAATTTCTTTTCTTTGAATTTTTGGTCATTTAAACTCGATTTAAAAAATTTGAGGTTCAGAAGTATATAAATAAATAGACTTGCTCTTTGAGTTTTTTGGACTCTCTTCAGCTTTTCTATTTAATCTCTTGATGATTTAATCATGGTCATGTTCTTTATATACATAATCTTGTATATATAAACTTTTTTTAAAAATCACTACCCTCCCATTACAGGAAGTATATAATTTTGTTCCTGGATATATGATTTTTCTCCCATAGCGTTAGAGTTGCCCAGTCACTTTGTTATATTTTTCATGTTCTTTGGCTGAAAATAATTTTATAAGACAATTCTAAGTACAGTGATTGAGAAATGACAAACAAAACACATAATTAAAACTGATAAAGGATGAACACTTGGAGTTTATAATTCATAATCACCTAAGGGTCTAACTGGTATTATCCTTCTTTCGTAATTTTGGAATTTTTTATTAGTTCATATTAATACAAAATTGTGTCTCATTGTGACATATTTATTCATGTATATAATATACTTATGTCACATCCCCCAGTAATTATTAATATTTTTGAATATATTTGAAAAAAATAGTGGTCTGGCTTGATTTATTTGAAACTTTGCTTTTGATGTTTGGTGTGATTGCTAACTGGTTGACAGCTATGATAACCTTTGTTTCTCTAATGTTCAAGTCCATTTATCCTAAAAGTGACAATTTGCAAGTTAAATAGTGAAATGATGGCAAAGTATTGAGATGGAGAGATATGAGGATTTGTAGCAATGAATTTACTCATACCGAGAACTTGTTTTTGTTTAGATTTTTTGTTTAGATAATGAACACATTAGCCTGAAATACATAGTTGAATTGATTTTTTTTTTATTAATCAGAGATAGAGTCTTTTAATTCCTATGTAAGACTTACTACAGAACAGTCCAATAAAGAATAGTTTTAATGGCTTTTAGACTTCCACTTGTAGTGAACTAATTTGCCTTCTGGTAGAATCATAATGTGTGTGGTTGACTTCATGTACAAATTTAAAGTTTCTATTTTACCTGTTACTGGGTAGCTAAATTGCCTTTCAGCTTCTTTGGTAAGGAATACCATGGGGTTTTCTGGACCTCCGTGAGTGTCAATTGATGTTATTCTACATATCTTAAACAACTTAAATACTTCTCTTATTCTTTCCACAGCATGTAGAATCCATGAAGCACAGAACAGTAAAGCCTTCTACTTTCATCACCAGGAAGATCTCTTTGCAAGAGTCACCATAGGATTACCAGAGAGACTAGTTTGTCTGAAGCATCATGTGCTGAAACAACAGAAACCCATTTTCCTTTGTGGCTAACTAGAAGACAGGGTACGATGTTTCCAGTTCTTTGAGCTCCAGGAAGACCGGACGGACAGAGTTGAAACTCTGAAAATGCGGCCATGGACTGGTTCCTGGCGTTGGATTATGCTCATTCTTTTTGCCTGGGGGACCTTGTTGTTTTATATAGGTGGTCATTTGGTTCGAGATAATGACCACCCTGATCACTCTAGCAGAGAACTCTCCAAGATTCTTGCAAAGCTGGAACGCTTGAAACAACAAAATGAAGACTTGAGGAGAATGGCTGAATCTCTCCGGTAGGTTTGAAATACTGAAGGCTTTGATGATATATTGTGCTTGCCTTGTAGGTATAGGGCCTCATTCCAGGGTTGAAAAATAGCATTTCTATGAATTATATTGCAAAAATTTAAGTATTTTAGCAGGCTTTTTAAAAGTACCATGATACATCTATATAGTCAATGTAGATAAGGTCTCCATAATTGCAAGTCTTATTTTACATACGAATTAACACATAAAAGTTGTGGTACTTCTATGCTTATGTTTCATTTACAACTTAGACTATATTGAACACAAACTTTATGTGATTTGAATTAGTTACATTATTTTTTTTTATTTTATGGACTACAACAAAATAATTTTTGAAAGACTTAGTCAAAATTCTTAAGGTGAAAAGCAAAAATTTATTGTTAAATAAAACAGTGCATCTGGAATGTGGGTAATATCATTACTTCTAGTCTACTAAAAATTGTGACAGCTGTTCAAAGACATCAGTTGTTTGGAAATCCAAAGTCTCCTATTTACATGGAAAACATAAACAGTGATACCTACTTACAGATAACTGTAACTCACAAATACTGAGTTTACAGGTTGACTGACAGACTCTCTTACTTCACACCTGAGAATGACCATGTGCACAGTGCCTGTTGTCCCTTTAAAAAGCTGTGGGGCTAGAAATGAAAAGATGAAAACTTTTGTGTTAGAGGTTGTAACTAGTGCTACAAGCAAGTGGTGATGAAAAAAGAGCAGAAGATACTTTACTTTTTGAGGAACATAATTTATGACTGGGGAGAAGAGCATTGGAGAGGACACCTCCTGGTTTTCCCATCCTGCCATTTGCACCCAATTGCATTTCACGCTGCTTTGAGAACTCCGATGTTTCACATAGTGTATTTGGGAAATTTTTTCTTCATCAGTTTTAACTTTGTTTTCTTCATGTCCTGTTGGATGTTAGCATTTTTATAAAAAACAAATATAGCCACATCCTTGTCATGAGTTGTAATGGTGGTATTTGTCATGATACTATTGTTCTGGAGGGAACTAAGTGGTCAAGGGCAAGAAATTGGATGAGGTTCATCAGAGAAGGTTATGGAAGCAGTGATCTTTGAATAGAAGTTTATATGTAACTCATTATTCTTGATGAGATACAAAGATTGATAATTTAGACATTGCTAATAATAACTTAGGCATAGCTATCATTTATTGGGAATTTGTCATATCTCAGGTACTGTGCCAAAAATAGATTATTTCACTGAATTTCAAGATATCTTTATGAGATTCTAGTCGTGTTTTCAATCATTTTACAGATGCAGAATCATAAGGTTGTTAAGTAATTTAATTTGTCCAAGATTATACTTTTAACAAATGGTAGAACTCTTTTTGAATTCTGTCAGTATAACCCTGCGGCCTGAACTCTTATTTTCCTAAGCTGAAAACAGAAAAAGCAGTGACCCAGAAAATCTCAATTAAAAGTCTGAGGAGATACTTCTCTTCCAGAGAAGATTTTCTTCCTTTTACAATTTAGACTCCTACTAATCACAGAATTTTCTTCTTCTTCCATCTTTTTTTAAATTTTATTTTTTATATTAATTACAGTTTATTCACTTTATATCCTAGCTGTAGTCCCCTTTCCAACCCCTCCCAACCCCACCCTCCTTCCCTCTTCTTCTCCTATGCCCCTCCCCCTGTCTAATGATAGCAGAGGTCTTCCTCCCCTTCTGTCTGACCCTAGTCTATCAGGTCTTGTCTTTGTCTTCCTCTGTGGACTGGCAAGGATGCTCCCGCCTCAGGGGGAGGTGTGTCAGAGACAGCCCCTTATCCCCTTACTAGGGAACCGTCTTAGACACTGAGCTGCCATGGGCTACATCTGTGCAGGGATTCTAGGTTATCTCCATGCATGGTCCTTGGTTGGAGTATCAGTCACAGAAAAGACCCCTGTGCCCAGATTTTTTGGTTCTGTTATTCTCCTTGTGGAACTCCTGTCCCCTCCAGGTCTTTCTATCTTCCCCTGATTTTCCTCCTTCCATCTTTAGTACTGATGTTTCTGTTTTCTTTTTTCTTACTGCATAGTCTTGCTTTTGTTGTGTGAAGGAAAACTTTTTATTAATACAGGTTGCTCTTCAGAAAAATAATCAGATTCCCTTTCAATATTAATTTTTATTATTTTAAAATTGTGTGTATATGTATGTATCTCTGTTGTAGATTTGTGCTTGTGAGGACCATTACCAGAAGAGAGCATCTGATTTCTTGAGCTGGAGGTACAGGCAGTTGTGAGCAGTCTGATGTCTTTGCTGGGAACTGAACTCAAAGGCTATATCAGTAGCTGCCCTTAAGTGCTAAGCCATCTCTCCAGTGCTTCACAGGGGCTCGTAAGCTACTTTCTTTATCTTTATCTGAAATTAAACTCCTAACAACTGCATTCAAATGAGAAACAACTTTTAAGAGCTGACACATTTAATAAATGTAAATGTAATCTAGAAACAGACTCAACAGATGAGTACGTCATTTTTATAAATAGGCACATGAACTCAGTAAAATAAATATGTGGTTGTTTTCTCTCATTAGGAAGCAAGTCTCCTGGGCTCTTCTGTTGACTCTGCTGGTAGGGCTATTTGTACACAATCCATGAAGATTTCATTGTAAAGCTAGGTCACAAACGATAGAGGCATCTGTTAGCATTGAGATTTTTTTTCCTTATTATAATTCAGCGACCATTTTGTACTTAGTTTGATGTCTATTTTTTATAATAAGACATATATTCATAAGCTAGAAGGTAGAGTATTAATTCAGATAAATGTAAAAGTAGATAATATTTTTTAGATAATGGCATATAAATTGGAGTTGGAAAATAAATCAAAAGCCTGAAATGACAGTTTTAAAGGTTCAGGACAATAATTTTAAAAGCAGTTAGCTAACCTTTCAACTACAACTTCAACTACAATTTGCAGGGTTTTTTTATTTTTTATATTGAGAAATTCAGAGGAAAATTGTAAACTATCTCCTTTGAAGGATATAAATGTACAAGCACAGTGTGTAGGAGTGGTGCTGTTGGGGGATAGATGTATGGTTTGTTGATCAATAATTTTCTTACAGTAAAATTTATTATGTTTTGGTAAGTGGCCACAATTATGCAGTCGTCACCACCAAGCTATAGCAGAGCCTGACCTCTTCCCAGAATTCTGTTGCTTCTTTTAGTTAAGTTGTTCTTTCCTCCCAACTGTGGCTCCTGTTTATCTGTTGGCTGTCCAGTATGTTTTTCTTTTCTTGAGTGTCATAAATGAAATCATGCGGTATGCAGTCTTATTTCCCCTGCTTTGCCATTGTTGGCATTTATTTATTTATTTATTTATTTATTTAAATTTATTTACTTTACCTTGGAATCAGATCTTAATCTCCTGCTGGTCCCAGCCTTCCTCCCTCTTCCCTTTTCTCCCCCTCTCCTAGTCCTCAGAAGGGAGAGCCCTCTTCCCCTAACATTTCATCAGGACTGCCTGCATCCTCATCCTTTGTGTCCTGGGAAGGCCTCCTCACCCAGGGGAAGTGATTTAGAGTATGCAACAGAGTCCATGTCGGAAGACAGCAGCCCAGCCGCTGCTCCGTTTACTAGGGAACCCGCACAGAGACCGAGCTGCTCATTGGCTATATTTGGGTAGGGGTCCTAGGTCCTCTCAGAGCAAGGTACTTGGTTGGTGTATCAGTTTCTGCAGGTCCCCCTGGGCCCAGATTTGTTGGCTCTGTTGGTCTTCTTGTGGAGCTCCTGTCCCCTCTGGTCTTTCTATACCCCCACTTTTCTAAAAGACTCCCTGTACTCTGCCCAAAGTTTGGCTGTGAGTCTCCAGCTGCTTTGATCTTCTGCTTTGTAGAGTCTTTCAGAGGACAGCATGCAGCCTTTTGGTCTGGCATCTTTTATTTGGCATAATATATTTGAGATTCATCAGTGTTTTGTGCATATTTTTATTACCAAGTAAATGTTTTTATTTTATTTTATTTTTTTTTTAGTGGTGAGTTGTTAAATGTATCACAGTTTGGGGTTTTAGTTTTTGAAAAAAAAAATTTTTTTATCTATTGAAGGTTATTGGATAGTTACTGCCTTTTACTAATTGCAAATAAAATCAATATTAATCTTTGCCCTGTAAGTTTCTGTGTGGACATAGTTTTAGGTTTTTTGTTTTGTTTTGTTGTTGTTTTGTTTAAATACTTGGGCATGGGATTGCTGGGTTAAGCGTATATTTATCTTCCTAAGAAGCTGCTGCTGGTGGGGCTGGGGAGATTGTTCACTTAGGAAAGTTATGGCCTGACAGGCATGTGGACTTGAGTTTAGGTCCCCATGTAAAAGGTGGGTATAGCAGTATGAACCCAGCACTGGGGATGGAGCATAGAATCAGGTGGCTCTCTGGAGCTTATTGGCCGGCCAGCCTAGTAGAATTTAGGAGCTCTAGGTTCACTATGGCTAGAGTGATGGAAGAAGGCATCTGATACTGCCCTCTGGCCTCTACAGGCACGCACACACATGAACATGTGTATTTACCATCCCTCTGACTTATTAAACAGTACTTTTCTAATTCCCCACATCCTAGGTAGTACTTGCTACTGGCAGTAATTTTTGTGTCAACATAACTGGTATGTAGAATCATCTCATCGAAGTTTCAATGTTTACTTCTGTGATGAAGGGTATTGAACATTACTTGCCAGTTTCCTTTTGGTGTATGTGTGTTGAGGGGTGGGGTGGGTCCGTAGAGGAAGGTGTATGTGTGCATATGTTTGCTGTTTGAAGGGCATGTGGCTGTGGAGATGTGTCGGAGCCAGGGGAGGATCTCTTGCTCTGGGACAGGGTCCCTCAATGACTATGGAGCCCAGGCTAGTGAGTAGCAGGCCCAGGGGATGTTTCTGTCTCTACCACTAGAGTTACAGGCTCCTGAGGGACCATACCTGGCATGGCTTTTTATATGTGTGTTAGGACTTGAGCTCAGCTTTTACTGAGCCATCTATCCAGCCTTATTGAATTTTTTTAAAAAACAGT